AACCATTTTTTGCAGCTGTGAACATGCACAAGACCCCCGGATCGCAGGATTCATCAGATTTTTAGCCGAAGGGATTGTTGATGAAAACGGTACAAGAAGAGAGAGGTATCATCCCAAGTAGAGGCCGGGGAATTCACGACTTGCATGTTCATAAGGTGAGGTAACCATTTCTTACAGGCGTGAACATGCACAAGAACCCCGGATCATGGCAACCAGGCCTGGTAAAGTAACCCTTCATTTTATATCCAAGCTAACTTGAAACATTCTTGTTCAGGTTTGCTTCTGAACCATCCAGGGAGATTTTCTTGAAATCCCTTTTTAAGTACTTTTCCAAATTTTGTTAACTAGCTTGACACTCTTTGCCCAAGTGGAAAAAATTGAAGAAGTAATGGTTGACTAATTGGTTTCTGAAAATTGATTTTGAAAACAGAGTGCGGAATTAAAATTGATTTTTATGATGTTGGCCAAGAGTCTTTGTTAGCAGTGAAATGCATCAATATCAAGTCAGTATAGTATTTTCCCAGAATGGTTCAGCTGCATGCTGTGATTGTGCGGTGATGGGTTATGTGTTGTGATTGTGCGGTGGTGGTGGTCTCTCACAGGTCATCGGCCCAAATTGGGCATTTCCTGCAAGTCCAACTCTATTAAGGACTATGGGATCATCTATATCCCGGTGTCCTCAAGACGGGTGATGGGATCTTCTATATCCCTACATCCCCAACGCAAGACCAGCGGGACTATGGGATCTACTATATCCCTTTGTCCATCCGGGGGCGGATTTGGGTGGCAATAAAAAGGGGGGTAACTCGGCTCCTTGGGGAGCTTGCCTGTTTAAATTATCCTGAAGCATCATATGTCATAGTTTTTCTCTTTGAGAGAATATATATGTGGTAATTGTCATGGCAACAGCATCAAATATCTCATTGTGGTCTTTGAAAATGAATTTAAAAATTGTGCAGAGTAAGATAAGGGAACTTGCCCCTGGATCCGTCCCTGCTGCAAGTTCCACCAGCGAAGGTCATCCTCAGGGCATAGGTAACTTCCTTCAGGGACATTTTTGATAGTAGTGAAACTTTCAGTTTCACTGTAGGATTTTTTCCTTTAGCTCAGTTGGATCTGTTACATCCCTCTGAGAAGTGCAGAGACTATGGGATCTCCTTTATCCCTAAGTCGTCAGGGCTTAGGTGAGTGCGGAGAACGATATGAAATTGGAACTCGCTCCAGTTGGAGTCCTGGGGGGTTTCAATGCGAGTTGTGCGGAAGGGGCTAGGCAGTTCGTGAGTCTAGCCCTACCAACGTTTCTGTTAGCCAAAAAAGATGCAGGTAGTTGTGTCCCTCGCGTTGAGGGCCGCGGACCTCTTCCATAGGGGCGTGGCCCTGTTATCACTGGGGTTAGCAAAACGCTGGTACGTCCTCTCACCTTCCCGGGGGTGAGAGGGCGCGCGTGAGTAGGCAAGGGCACTCTCCTTCGGGAGGGCGGACCGGACAGTGGCAGATGGTGCCCCTGCGGCCACAGGGTAGTACCAGTCTGTCCAGCGATGGGCCCGCTAATTGCCGAAAGCGTGCGGGGCTGGTATCCTGGGACCTTCACGTGGTGGCCCTGTTTTCACTAACCTTACCAGGATATTCACTTTACTGCAGCTTCAACCGTGAGCATGTGACTGTACTCAAAGTACTTAACAACTTGTTTATTCTTACATTTATCTTTTCTGCCAGTGATTGTTTTATTTTGTCATTTTTCAAGAGCATACAAAGAGTAGTCTTTTTGACCCCGGTACCCCTCCTGGAGAGTGAAAATTCAACAGGCTTCTGGGTTCACATACCCCTGTCCAGCCTACATATGCCAATTTCCCACTGCACCTATCACAATTCGCTGAAAAGACTTGATTATGCATGCTGCCCCCTGACCCACCACAACGCACTGCGGTCCCGCCGCCATGATCGTCGTCCTTTTCTCAGTGCGTATAGTTTAGGGATGTGTCTTTTATGACTCGTCGAATTCTCGAGTTCCGTACCTTTCGTGCTATTGAATTGACTTGATTCCTCGTACGAAATAAAGAGTGTTTTCTTGTCTGTTGGTAAGGGTTCTTCTTTTCTTATTTTGTTTCTTGCATGCTATGTTTTCTTGTGGTTCTTTTCTGCCCCCTTTTTTTTTCTGTGCATCATATATAGGTTGGGTTGTGACCTACCATAATGTGTGATGTGTTATGTGGGTATGGCGGTTAAAGGGTTGGAGGGCCCTTTTGCTCACTATGTGGTGCATGCGTTCGAATATTAATAGCCCAACATAGTTCGGGTCTGGCTGCGGAGTGGGGCTTAGTGAGCTGCCCCTCTCCCCTGTGGTGCGGTTTTGCATTTTCCGATCAGCTGCCTCGACGCGGAGAGACCCGAATAGGCCGGGGCTTATGAGGCACCCCAGGACTGGATTGTCACAATCAGGCGGACCGGAGTACCGCAAAACCTGATTGATACCCTCCTTGACTAGAGAGAACCAGAGTACCGCGACTCCTAGATATAAACAGCCTCTATAGATCAGGCGGACCGGAGTATAGCAAAGCCTTTGATCTCTGATGACCACTACCAGGATTGATCGGGCTGAGGGTGCAATTCCGTAATGAAGCCCTTGATCACTGATGACTACCACCCACCTACCCACCACCGAGCCAAGCCTGCTGGTCTTCTGCCGTCGTCTTCTATGCCCACTCCCAGCGCTGTGACCAGCGGCCGGGGCGGGGCCAAGCAGGCCGGGGGGGACTGAGGTGGCGGGCCCCAAGGCTACACCTATTCATTGGGTTGAGCAGATTTTCTGCATCAATACCTTTGATCATTATTGTTGGGAGTAATGAGACATCCCTTCCTGTTATGCTGCAGGTTCCCGGCATTCCTACCTACCGCTGGCGCGCATTCCCACCAAGAGCTTCATCTTTTTACCGGTTTCCTCGGGAGGATGTCTCTCGCTTCCTGTCAACCCCAGATATTCCTGACGCTGCCAGAGACAAGATCTCGTTTAAGTCTGGCGAGGCGAAAACTTTCCGGGATAAGGACAAAGCTACCGGTGACCTGTCCCTCCGTCACATTGATATGGCATCCCGCTTTGGCCTCCGATGTTCAGCTTTTCTTCTACTTCTATCGGAGTATATTGCCCAGGCCTTTGAAGATGACTCTCTGGTCTCTCCAGACTTTGCGGCCTTAGCTTTACGAGGCCTTGATGAGGGACTTAATTCGATCTTCAAACAGTTCACTGGCATTTCCATTCTGGCCACTTCTACCTGCAGATCCAATGCGGTGGACGCCATGGATATTCCCTATGGGTCCGTCAAGAATAGGCTTATGGGCCTCCCCCTTCTGGGGGACAGTCTCTTTGCTGGGAAGTTCACCGAAGTCCTTGAGTCGGAGGTAAAATGTATGGAGACTGCTAAGGAAAATCTCACTTCATAAACCTGCACCTCCACACCGTCAGCCTCCACCATAGCCGAGAAGACGGGCATCTTCTGCTCACTCACCCCTTTAGCCGTCCACTCTGAGCGGCTACACTGTCATCAACCCCGCAGCGAGCTCTTCCTACATTGGGTCCTCCTACATCAGGGCACGACGTCGGTGACCACTTCCGTTTGCCTTTGGCAGCCGCCGGTCCCGAACCCGTCGGCAGCCGCCTGGGCAACTTCATCAGATTCTGGCGGGAAATCACCACGGATAGCTGGGTCCTCTCCACCATTGCTCACCGCTACTTCCTCGAATTCACGAGCTCCCCGCCATCTGGGATGGTCTTCCGCTTCACTCCTCCCCATGCGACAAACTCAAAGGCCTGGCTCTGGAGAAGGAGATTGCAGCGTTGTTACGCAAATGAGCCATCACACCAGTGCATCCAAACCAGCTATCCACCGGCGTCCTTTCGTCCTTTTTCCTCGTACTCAAAAAAAGACCCGGGAAAATGGTGACCAATAATCAACCTGGAACCGCTCAACAAGTTCATCGGGCCAAGGCGGTTTTGAATGGAGACTCTGAGCGTGGTCCTACCCTTTCTACCTGTTCTGTGCTGGGCCACCTCGATAGATCTATGGGATGCGTATCTTAATATCCCGATACACAAGCAACACTGCAAGTACAGTAGAACGCCGCTATAACAAACAAGACAGGGTCCATGCTAAATGTTTGGTACAGCGGTCGTTCGGTATAGCGTGCACCCTCTTGTGATACCTTGGCTCGCTGTTTTCGTGATGTTTTGCCATTGCATTCAAGTTTAAGGTTTTTAGAAATGTATCTGTAAATTATTTTTGTTTTTAATTTAAACTTGAGTAAAAAAATTGATATCAAGTTTATCCTAAAAGTCGTGAAACTAATGCTCAGGATTGATCTCTGATGCATGCTGTGGCGAATCTCGGTTGATTTGTGTATCAGCGGCGCCCTCTATCTTTAGACTACATCGTATTGTTAGTGCAATGTCACCGTACGCGTATGTGCGGTTTTCTTCGGCACCCTATTATGTTGAGTTGCAAAATGAAACCAGTGTCAACTTGACAACTTGTGGCTTTCCCTTCTAATCCTTGGGGAAATAATGGCCACTTGTCACTTTCAGACACAAAAAAAACGACTGTTTCATCATGTTGATGTTCGGGAATTACAAACGGCACCTGAATAGTGTTCGGTAGGTTCTGTGCACAAATTATTGGGAGCGAAGGACGATGTTTGGTACAGCCGAATGTTCAGTATAGCAGTGTTTGGTATAGCGCCGTTCCACTGTACCTCCGCTTCGAGTACTGCGACTGGACCTTTCAGTTTCGGGCCCTTCCTTTCGGTCTCTCAACATCACCAAGAGTCTTCACCTACTTACGACAGCGCGGTGTCCCTGTTTCTCAATAACTAGACGACTAGTTGATCGTCGGCCACTGCCCTGACGAAGCAAGTTCTGGTACTTCTCTCATGACAAGCTGCCCTCAATCCATCACAATGGCTGACCTACCTGAGGGCAGCTCTCGATCTTCTCAAAGGTGTTGCGACTCCGTCACCGGAATGCGTCCTCAATCTGCAACAATGTGCCCTTTTGTTCCTGTGCTCCAATGCTCTTCCAACGCTGGCCTGGCTCCGCCTTCTCGGATTTATGGCCAGCCTTGTCGACCTCGTTCCTTGGTGTCGACTGCGGATGCGGCCACTTCAACTACATCTCCTGTCTCGGTATTGCCCAAGAGCGATCCGATTTCTACCTTGGTTCCTCTTCTACCAGATGTTTGCAACCACCTCTGGTAGTGGACCATCAGCGAGCGGGTCATACCTTTGTTCCTCCAAAGCCGAACATTGCAATGACAACGGATGCGTCGCTATTCGGATGGGGGGCCTCCACTTCATGGATCCGGAGTTTGGGACTCTTCCTTCCACAACAAACACATCAACCTGCTGGAACTTCAGGCAGTATTCAACGGCCTTCGTCACTTCTAGGCTGCATTTAGTGGGTCTGTGGATTCGAATCCAGAGCGACAACTCCACAGTGGTAGTGTACATAAACCACCAAGGTGGTACTCGCTCCCCCCAGCTAGGTGCCCTTACATGGCAGATCTTCATGTGGGCGATCAATCACAGGATCACTCTCTCTTGGAGTGCTGTCCACCCTACGGAGTGGACTCTACATCCGAGCGTGATCACCCAAATCTTCGCAGAGATCGAGCGCCCCCACGTCAACCTCTCGCATCGGCCGACAATACCCATCTTCTGACGTTTTGCTCCAGGTTTCCACACCCACGAGCTTGGGCGACGGATGCTCTTCTGGTGAATTGGTCCGGCCTTTTGGCATTACGTCATTCCTCCAATATCCCTCATTCCACGAGTCTTATCCAAGATAGAACAAGAACCATACCGGATTCTCCTCATCGTCCCGTTCTGGCCTCAACAACTGTGGTTCCTGAGACTCACAAGGCTCCTGGTTCGTTGACCACTGGTCCTTCCGCATAGGGAGGATATTCTTCGTCAACCCAGGTCAGGAATCCTCCATGCAGCGCCGAACGATCTTCAGTTGACGTGTTGTCCAACGATGGTTCAGAGCGTCAGGTCTTTCTGCAGATGCTGCATCCATGGTGGCACGGGGTCGACGACTCTCCACACGCAAAATTTACAACAGTTGAATACAACATTTTGCTAGATGGTGTGACGACCACGATGTTTCTCCAACCAAAGCTTCTGTAAGCTCAGTTGTGGACTTTTTCATGTATCTTTTTCATTCGGGCCTCCAGACTGCTACTATCCGCAACTACCGGTCGGTCCTGGCAGCTGTTCATTCAGGGTTCAATGATGGATCAACCATTTCTGTTAACACTGCCATCTTCCTCTACTTTGGGGAATGTTTGTCGAGCATTCTCACGTCAAATGCCTTGTTCTTTCTTGGGACCTTGGCAACGTCTTGCGTGTTCTCACCAGTCCCCCCTTCGAACCGCTGTCTGATGTATCTGATCTCCATCTTAGCATCAGTTGCTGGCTTTCCTCCTGGCGATCGTTACCTCCAGACGCGGCAGTGAACTGCATGCCCTGTCAACTGCTGAAGGTCACATACGCTGGGAACTGCATGGAGTTCGTCTTATCCCAGCCATCGAATTCCTGACAAAGAACCAGACGCCTGTCTGCCAGCCTCCGGACATTTTTGTCTCTGACATAACCTCTCTTTCGGCAGATAGCTTGGACAAGAAATGGTGTCCGGTTCGTATCTTTAAATGGTATCTCACGAGGACCAAGTGTCGCCGTGAGACTGGTTCCAGACTTTTCATCACATCCACAAAACCCTTTCATCCAGCGGCGAAGGACACCATAGCTCGTTGGACAGTTTCAGCCATCATCTTTGTAAATGAAGACTGGCCGATTTGACAAGACAAGATGACTCAATCTCACATCAGAGCCCATGATTGTTCGGGCCACCTCTGCATCCTGGTTGTTCTTCAGAGGTGTCTCCTTGGCAGACATTTGCCAAGTGGCTTATTGGAAATCTGTTTGTCGTTTCAAGCCAATTTCTTTATCGGAATCCATGCCAATCAGACAGGTGTATTTGTTCTGCAGATTTGTACAATTTCCTTTTTTTTAAGGTCTTTATTTTTAAATAAGATGGCAGAAGACTGTTGACTTTGAGTTCTCCCTTGTTGGGTAAAGCCTCCAGAGGTCAGATACATTCACTGACTGATGAGGTCCGTGATTATATACCATGGTTACACCAAGGTGATGCGGAATGTACGGTGTGTGAAATGCAATCAGACAGGCCACATCGCTACAGACAGAGGTTCACAGCCAAAATTATTGGCGACGCTGGCAAAAAATACAAAGCAAGTCAGTGGCTTTGATTTTTTGTCAAGCTGTGTCCAAATTTACTTGGCTATGGCCTGTTATAATGCACAAGTCTATGGTAGTGGCTGCAGCCAGTTCCCATAGAGTTGTGTGTAATTTTAAGCCACAGCCAAGGGATTGAGACACAACATTATTTGAAAGTGAGAACCTACAAGGCTTAAAATTCACCTTTGATTCACCAAATGTTTTTTAATTCCTTGTTAAGCTCATTTACTTGTTGAGTCACTTTTTTTCTTGATAGGATTTAATTGATGGTGATGATTTTGATCATGGCCTTCGACCCGAGGAAGCCTTCTTGAACTCCAAGAAACAAAGGAATAACCACCTCAAGTAAGCGACTTTGAAGTGCAGTCTCTTCAATTTACATGACTCCCTACCCAAGACTGGCTAATGCTGTTTTGCTTTATAAATAAGGGTGAATTGGCTGCGCACAAACATTACAGCTGTGAACATTGCTTGTTCACAGCTGTCAGTGCTGTTTTCTGTGAAGTATTTATCGAATATCAGTTTGCCTGGCAAAACTAAAAAAACCCGTAATTGCTTTTGGCTGGATTTGAAAATAAATTCTTTTTTTAAAAATATGGCACCTAGCTGTCTGTGATAAAATTCTTCCTTGGAAAAGTGACCCCATTTTTTTGTGGTGTATTGATTAGGAAGCTGAACCGCATGGAGAAGAAACATTCTGGGTCCGTGCCTCAGAAGAAGAGCCACAAGAGGCGATGGTGCAGCAACAGCAGCTCATCGAGGCCGGAGAAACATCACAGGGAGAAGAAAAAGTACAAGAGGCCCTGGAAGAGCAGTTAGGACACCAGCAGCAGCAGGGAGGAGAGCTCAGCTGGTGGGCAGCGGCAGAGCAGCAGTTGAGACAGAGATGAATGCCGAGGAAACAGGAGGGATTCGAGCAGTGAAGATGAGAGGATACAAGATGTGCAGCCACCACAAGCTGCATCACAGTGATTGGAACAGAGGACATGTTCACATGGTATCAAGAAAGAGAGGACATCTCGAGACCCTTGGAGAAGCCAAGATGATCATTGGCAGCAGTGATATGATAGTATGCTAGACAGGATTGCGATAGAGATTCCCACAATTATCATTTGTCAAAAGACGTCTGTGACAAGCTTTACCACAAGAACTCTCGGGAAGATCATGACTTCAGAGACAGGGACACGCGAATCAAAAACGAGGTGGAAGGGATGACACAGGATAGGAGTCATAGTAAGAGACACTCTAAGGACCACCCTGACAGGAAGGACAGATACATTGGCAGCAAAAAGGACAGGAAATAACGCAGTTGCTGGAGGGGAAGACATATTGCCCCCCCCCCAAAAAAATGTACAGTGTATGAGTTATTCAGGGGCAAAAGAATAAGATGTTGGATGACACTTCTGTTGGCAGTGCCTTGCGATCGTTTGTGTTGGATGAAGACGTTTGTTTGGAGGGAAGCGTCTGCATTATGCCTCACCAGTCCCCTCCCTTCCCATGACCAACAAGCTGGTGGTGTTAGTTCGAATGTCAGCATTTGACATTCAAGATGCAAAGTGTGATATATACCCCTAAATAAAAAACTTGGCACATTATGCCTTTTTCTGAGAAATTTGTCATTTCCTGGAAGTCCTGCCTTTGGGGATGTCAAAGCTGTTACTCTTTCTGCATTTGAGAGGCTTTTGCCTTAAAGTCATATTAAATGCAACTGCAGACTTGTACATTTAAATGCAATTTAGTTTACCAGTATAAGGGTTTCTTTTATTTGAACAGATGTTGCTTTTAAGCTCCTTTTTCTCATTGACAACAGAACCAGCTATTCGTTTGGATCAGTTCTTATATTTTGCCATTTAAACAATCAAGTCAAAGTCGTTTAGAAAAAGTCCATTTTTGATGAAATTTCAGTTAAACAGCAAGTCTAACACCTTGCAACTTTGTTTTAAATTTTTGGTGAAAATTGTAACAAAAGTATCTATAACTGAAGTGTCAGAAAACCTTGAAGTACATTTCTGATCTCTTTTTGAAGAAGTCCACTGTTGTCAAAATTTTAACTAAAATGCAAAGCTAACCTCTTGTAGGTTTTTTAGTCTCGGGGAAAAATTTGAAAATGGTCTAAATGGCACCAAAATTATCTAGAAGTGTCAGAAAAGGTGAACTTCATCTTGGAATATATTTCTGAGCCTTCTTAGAAAAAGCCCAGTGTTGACGAAATTTTAATAAAGATGCAAGTGTAGGGAGGTCTCGCATGACAAAACTGAGGATACAATTTTGTGATTTTTTAGATATCCATTAAAAGATTTTTCAGTATCTCATTTGCTTTGAATTTTGCCAATTATCTTTTTACAAAAATGTGTGCAATTGTACTCAATGTTGCTACTGCAGTGCCAGCTCTCCTAGAGTGAATCAAAACACTCACTGGAGGTCATCACAACAGATAACTCCAAACTTATTTCAATTTTGTTACACGAAGTTGGTGATGGTGTGGAATTTTAAATAGGGTACATTATCTGAGGTTTTATTTATTAAAATTCCTTTTTCACTTTTGCTGTCCACTTTTCCTGTAGTTGTACATCCCAGCCATGCTAACCGAGTTTAACTGTGTACTGGACATGTATTGTATGTGTTATATGTATCTGCCTTGAGGTACTTTTTCACATGCGCTTCAACACTTGTTGCAAGTGTTGCCTATCTATCAAAATTGGCCAAACGCAATGCAAATATGTGTTATGTTAATTGCGTTGACTTTGGTGTCCATGAAAGTAAAATGCATAAACGCAAAGCCTACGCAACACAGCCAAAAAAGTACATATGGAAAGGCGCCTTTAGACAACGTTGGGCTGCATGACAGTGCCTGTTCCATTTTGACGGGCCGGGTCTTTTAAACTCCAGACAATAAATCAGCAGAAGCAGAGTGCTGGCTTTCAGTGCAGTTTTCTTGGCAGTGTCACCCCCCCAAACCTGCATGCTGTCTTTTCAGCACCCTGGAGTGAGGAGTCTACCCATCAAGCACGAATCCAACCCCTTTATTCCTGAAGGCCACCAACACACCAGGCTTAACCCCTTGAAATTGCAAGTTTGGCTGATAGTTAAAATGGTCAAAATTGCATACGAATTATCTGGATGTCAGAAAAGCTGAAATTCATCTTGAAATAAATTTCTGTGCCTTTTTAGAAAGATGTTCAGTTTTGACTAATTTTATTCAAAATGCAAGGCTAACCCCTTGTAGTTTTTTTTAATTTTTGGTGGAAACTTGAAAATGGTTGTAAATGCATCAAAATTATCTAGAAATGTCGGCAAACCTGCAATTCATCTCGAACTACATTTCTGAGGTCTTGTAGAAAAGCCCATTTCTAACAAAATTTTGATTAAAAGGCAAGGCTAACGCCTTGTAGTTTTCACAATTGTAGCTGAAAATTTGAAATTGGTCTTAAATTGCTTACAAACTGTCTAGAAGTGTCAGAAAGCTGAAATTCATCTTGGAAAAAATTTCTGAGGTCTTTTTAGAAAAATTCCAGGTTTGATGAATTTTTGTTTAAAACGCAAGGCTAACCCCTTGGTTTTTCTTCAATTTTGGGTAAAAATTGGAAAATTGTCTGAATTGCATACAACTGATCTAGAAATGTCAGAAAACCTAAAATTTATCTTGAAGTACATTTCTGAGCTCTTTTTGGAAAAAAATAGTTATGTAGGAAATTGTTTATTCTTTTTATTGATTCAGGACTTACTGTTGCCATCAGAAATAATGAAAAGCGGCCCTGTAGAAGTCACACCAAAAAATACATTTTTATAAATTACAACATAGTTAATATGTATGCACTGCAGCTTTGAAAGCATCCATATTTGGAGTGGCGGGAAATACATGACAAGGAAGAGAATTTGATAACCGGCTAGTTCTTGGAACATTATGAAGACAGATGGAGCATAGTATTGGACTTGGAAATGTTGACAGTAAACGGGCAGTTAGTACTTGAGGAGCGAGTCGCCCTGACAGTGGCAACCCTCGTTGCAAGAAAAATTGACAGTAGAAGGTGCACAGATGTGCAACTTTCCTCCTGTGCTCCAGTGGGAGACTGCAGGCCCTGAGAGGTCCATCAATTTGTAGAAGGCGGAGAGCCTTTCTCTGTAATTTTAATCAAAATGGCAAGGCTTAACCACCTTGTCGTTTTGTTAATTTTATGTGAAAATTTGAACATGGCCTATATTGCATCAAAATTATCTAAAAGTGTCAGAAAAGCTGGACTTCATCTTGACATACATTTGAGGTCTTTTAGGAAAAGCCCACTTCCAGAAAGTTTGATTAAAAGGCAAGGCTAACCCCTTGCAGTTTTTACATTTTTGGTTCAAAATTGGAAATTGGTCTAAATTGCATACAAATTATCCAGAATTGTCAGAAAAGCTTAAATTCATCTTGGAATAAACTTCTCAGCCTTTTTAGAAAAATTCCAGGTTGACAAAATTTATTTAAAATGCAAGGCGTACCCCTTGTGGTTTTTAAATTTTTGGTGCAAACTTAAAAATGGTCATAAATGCGTCAAAATTTTCTAAGTGTCAGGAAACATGGAATTCATCTCAAACTGCATTTCTGAGGTTTTAACAAAATTTATTTAAAATGTAAGGCTTACCCCTGGCAGTTTTTTCCATAATTTGTGATGACAATTTTTGACCAAATCTTTATTGAATTGCAAAGCTAATCCCTGGTGTTTTTTTTCAATGTTTGTTGGTGGAAAATTATAAAGAACCTAGATGTGTGTGAAAAATAAATCAAATTCATCTCAAAGTAACTTTCTGAGCTGTTGAAGAAAAAGATTGTAATTGGACTGCAAGCAAGTCTTACCCCTGAAGATTTATTTTAAACTTTTGGTGAACAATTAAACATTGGGACTGCATTGCATAGAAAGCACCTTGAAGTGTCAAAGACAATCTTGTCTCAAAAACATTTCTCAGTCGTAAGGCAAGTACGAGTTGGTGTAGTTTTAATTAACTTATTAGAGTTTTGCCAAATTTTAAATGACAAGCAAGGTGTTTTCCTTTATTGCATCGAAAGCATCTTGAAATGTATGGGTTGGCGACATTGCTCTGAAGATGCAGAAAAAAGGAGTCAGTTTTTGACTAAATTTTAGTGAAATTGTAAGACAGCTTTTATTTATAAATTAATTTCTCAAAAGGAACCATTTCATGCAATCCCCATCCGTGAAACCATAAAGTCTTTTTCCTCTCAGATTTGTTTCCATATTTATTTGAACAGATGAAATCCGGGAACTGTGCTTTCCTTAAAGGTGCTCTTTAAGGCTAACGAAGACAGATATCTGGTATTCACCAACATGTTGCTTTCTGTGGAGTTTGGGCTTAGATTATAACACAACCAAATGCTTCATGGCTAACTCATAGTGCCAAGTTTGAGGACACACCGCGTTAGAGGATGCATCATGTTAGAGAATGCACCACTCTGGAGGGCTTCAGTGATAATTATGGCTGGTTAATTTTGGATTTTGTGCTCTGCCTGACGTGTATTATAACACTGTATACTCAAGTGTTTGCCCCCAAAGGCTTGTGAAAAAAAGTGTACTCGGGTGGGACTCGAACCACTGACTTCCGGCTTACTAGTGCAGACAACTTAACCACCGAGTTTGCCTGTGTCACCTGGCTGGTTTGAATCATCGGGTACCGCGAACAACTACTGTATTTCCAAGAATGGATTTGCTCCAAGGAGATATTAATTTTTGAAGCAGGAAGTTGTGGGTTTGAGTCCCACCCGAGTACACTTTTTTACAAGCCTTCGGGGACAAAAACTGAGTACAAAGTGTTACAATGCATGTCGAGCAAGGCAAAAAATCCAAAATTAATTAACCTCTCCCGGCACAAATCCATCCTTGGATATAATTATGGCTGGGCTATTCAAAGCAGACATCGGAACTACAGGCGTGGCTCTTTCAGGTCTAACTCGTGATTAAAAAAAAGAGACACGCATGAAAAAAGAACAAAACATTGGGGATGCAATATCCCTATCCCCCATGCTATACCACTGCTCTTGGCACGCTCCTGGAAATCACAGAAAACAAAACAAAATTGAATACACAGTAGCACATTTGAACAAAAACCACTCAAACAAAAAAAACCAGAGGCAGGAGATACACCATCAAAACACTGCCTGTTCACGTTCACAGTTCTTCGGTGACTGATACAAAGTTTGATAGACATTCATCTTACAATTACTTATCGCCAAACAAGCCAAGACAAAAGTCCACTTTCTACACTCCTCATTTCTCAGATTAAAAACAACGTACGAGGAGATGACCGAGTATTTTTTTCATGTTTTAATGTTGTCGTAAGTTTGGAATATGACATTTTCAAACAGAAAAGGCATTTGGATGGTGTGGAAACCTGCAATATAGGGAAAAACCTAGAATCAGGAAAATATTTGTGAATGCACATCACCCAGTGATTCTGCACGGCAGTACACGGGCTGTATTTCATTTTACTTTAATGTCAATGTATTCACAGAAAAAGACGACAGAAGAAATATACATCTCTTTACATGGAGTAAAAACTACATATACAAACAATAAAACCTGGATGAAAAAGGAAATTATTTCATACAAACACAATAAAAAAAACCATATGACTTTGCACAAAAAACATGTAATTACCTGTACATGCATTAGTAATCTAAAATTAAAATTTTGAATAAAATTCTGCCTACAAAGGCTACTAAGTAAAAACGGTGTTTTGAAAATCTTTTGATTATATTAAAAATTCACTACAAGCACATAGCAGAAGATAATACCAATATAATATGCACAAAGTTTATTACACTCACCTAGACCCACAACAGAGAACTGCAAAAAAGGTTCCCATGGTGAAATGGCGAGTTTAATACCAGTAACGGTGATGCTTCCTTGATGCTTTTGAGAAAGGTAATCTTGTAGTACGTTTCTACTATGTAGACCACGAAGAAATACTTGCAGTTAACGGGCTTTGTGTGCATCACACTTGATCACTGGTGCGGAATTCAATGAAATGTTTAGTAGTCAAACAGTAGAGGGAAGAAAGGGCATGGTCCCTGGGAAACAGGCATTTAAATTAAACTCTCATTTTCCTTAAGGGGAAAAACTCCCCTTTTCCCACAAGATTTATACAGGTTACAAATTTGTAAATACAATAAACCCTTGATTGGAAATGTAAGTTCTATTAAAGCTGTTCTTTCAGTCATGATCAGTCAGCCAACCAGTTACTATTTATGTAGTGTTGACTGAGAATTTCCACTTTCCGAAAAGGGCAAAATCGTCAGCTAATCGTCTCATGTGCATGTACAACCAGAAGACACAACCACTGGTTTGCAAGAGTCGTCTGAATAGTACCTTCCATATCTGACCGCAACTGCATACTTTTCAACACCTCGGTGGCCTGCCCACAAAGTGACGTTTGCAGCCAGTTTCAATTACAACACATGGTCTGCCTATGCAGACCCCCTCCCAACTTTGTGTCTGTGTATACAAAAGAAAAGCCCCACGGCGTATTAGCTCAGATTTGCCCGAGCATAGATAGTCAGATCATGTTTATGTGTCTGTCGGTGCAAAATGGCAAAGAATGTACAATGAACAGGATGTGTTACTGCATCACTGTGCTATACCAGCTACATAATACTTAGACATCTGAGACTGCTCATTTGGCTGAGTACATAATGAGTGCTGCTAAGAAAATATACCACTTTTTTTTCACATAGTCCTGGTAATTTCAATGCTTGCATTTGATAATATCTAAATTGAAATAGATTTGCATTTTAATTCAAGTGACTCATTCAATACAACTTGTAGCCACTGTCTGCGATTCAAAGTAATAATACGTGTAGATCTCATTGGAAAATTTGACAATGGAAATAAATCTGGCGGACTGCTGTAGCTGACCTGGCATCAGTATGGAAATGAAATCTCAAGTGAATGCTACTGGTCAATAACATAACTGACTGTTTGTGAAAAAGGAATCTTGCTATTTTATCAAACCAGATTCAACTATCGGATTTTGCTATCATGTCTTGTCCGTCTCAGGGGGCCTCCGGGAAGATCTGATTCATCAATTTGCCGCTGAGAGTTGGCCAATGCAGTAGTCCGGTTGAAATCAATCATGGCATAGGTGTCGGTCCGGCGACTCGAACCCTCTGAGTTCAAACTGGCAGGAGTCTTCGGCGGGGAGCTGGTCATGCTAGAGCTGCGACTCTGGCGAGTCTGGATTGTGGGTGTGGTCTGAACCGCTTCCAAGCTCTCCATGTCCAGGTCAGCATAATTCATGCGGCCTTTGGGAGCCGGCTGGAGAACCACACTCGAGTTCCCATTGTACACAGCCGACCTCATCCCGACTTCCGACAGCGCGTCCAGGTTGGCATAGCTGTGCTCACTCGCTGGTGATCGGTTTCCTGCGACGCTGCCATCAAAAATAAACTCAGAACCCCCACTGCCTTTGCTGGAGGAGGTACTGCAGGGTGATCGCAGGTCACAGCAAAAGACAAAATTGTTATGGGGGAGTTCCCCGACCATGTCTAGATTCGCATAGTAGCTGCTACACCCAGAAGTCCTGCTGCTGGGAGTTGTGAGGGAAGTCTGGGAGACCAGACTCATTGGAGTCGTAATTGACACAGGCGAGGCCCTGCTGGTCTGGTTCTCATGAGTAACTGTCTCTGAGGTAGAGTTCGTTGAGCTGATAACACCTGCATTGCTGCTCAAGCTCAGGCTGCTTTTCAAGGGCATTGTGTTGCCATTCACGATGTCCTGCACCGAGGAGGGTTTCATGTAGTGGGACTCGGGGAGGCTGGTGGGTTTCAGCATGGTCAGAGGTGGCATCCCGACTCTGTCCATGTTGCCGTTGACGTCATTCTGGACCAGCATCACAGCGTCAGTCTCTGTAATGCCAACGTCAGTGGAATCCTCATCCATGTCATGCTTAAGCCGTGCATAGTTTACATTGGGGTCGTTTTCTTCTGACGGAGACCCAATGTTCTCCTCACTAAGCCGAGGTAACAAGTTGGCAGTGACAGAGGATGAGTCAGCCTACATTGATATGGATGAATAGATGAAGAACCACACATTATTACATGAGACCATGCACTGCAAGTGACACAAAAAATGAAAAAACAAATAGTGACAACATTGTTAATGAAAATCAATGCCTCTCTGTTTGCAATAAATCCAAAAATTACCGTAGAAGTGGGTTTTCAGAAGCAAGCATCAGTTTGTAAAAACCAAAGGAACCAATGCTGTATGTACCGGTACATGTACGTCAATCTGGTGACGTGATACTGTACACATACGAGTTAAAGAACCCAACAATTAGCAGAAGCATTAATGTAAAAACGTGGCAGCAGCACGTAAGTCTAACACTGATAAAGAAAAGTTGACACTGTTGTAAAAAGTTCTGGAAGTTCATCACACGTTGTGGGTCAATTGAAATGAGCTCTCTGTAAGAAAGGCAGCAAATCAAAGTTCCTGATGTGTACGATGATCATGTGCCCTTGATCTGGGTAAACTTCACTGATATCAAGGAGCAAAAAGTGGTTGGGAAAAAAGTGGGGGGTGGGGTTGTATTCATTAGCCACATGCTGAGGTAGAAAGCAATTGAATCTTCTGCCGATGCCAAGTTTTTAAAGTTAATCCTTACCATGCTTTCTTGAGGGGATTCTGGGATATCCGGGAAGGAGTTTGCATTGATGTAGTGCACTGATGCATTCGGGGATGAAGGGGTCTGTGCACCCGGTGATGATGCAGTTGAGGCCGTTCTGCCAATGTAGCTGGTCCCTCCGTAAGCAGTGCCGTTCCTGAACGCGGCCAGGCTGGGCGAGTCTGTGGAGAAGGCTGAGAGGGCTGGGGAACTGGGCTGGTGGGTGGGAGATGCTGCCTCATTCGCTGCCTCGGCAGACGAAGAGGAGTAGCTGCTACCATAACGGCCATTGCCACAGGCCTGGGCATTCTCTTGCACATGGCGGAAGAGGAATTCAGCACGTTTGCATTTGAAGGCGTAGATACCTGTAGCCAAAGGAAACGAGCAATAAATTACTTACGGAGAATTCATCCAATTTTTATAGACTATCCATTCTGAAAAGGAAATTGAAAAAAAAAAATCAGAAGTAAAAACACAATTTAGAAATGAAACAAAAAAAACCAGCCTAATCATGAAGGCTAGAATTTCACAGCATTCAGTTGATCCATGAAGATGAAGACAGCAATATCTGACACTCTCAGTTTATGATAATGGTTGCTGATAATACACGGGTCATGCAAGCTTGCAATACACAAACTCAGACCTCCTCGTCCTGCCGTCCATTAGACACGGAAAGTTAACTTCTCCATAAGCAATACCCGCATTCCTATGGCCTAAATATGCAATCATAACACTTGAATTGCAGAAATTCCTCAAGCTACAACATGTACAAACACAATATACCAGAAAAAATTACGGCAGACTTGTGGCACCCCCCGAATTTCTTTTTGGGGAGGGGAAGGGTGTGCCACATGACACACATGAATGTGGGGTTAAATTTTGAGAGGGCAAGAATTTTAATGCAGTCTTGAAGCATAGGCAAAAGTGAGTATCTTTTCTACTTGGAGATGTACTGACATGTTGAAAGTCAGTGGCAATTTTTATGGCAAAACAAGTGCATGGTATGAATGTGGTAATAAGAATGTTGGTTTATTTTTTGATGTTGAGTAAGGTTAAAGGTTATGGTATGCTGATCCCATGCAGAGCAGATAGAAGGGAGAGATTTCAAGGTTTAAGTATTTATCATGCTATCGTATGTCAGCAAAACAAATAAAATTCTATGCTGACAAGACTGCAGGGGCCGAGGGTTAAAGCTTTCATTTTCTTTCCATGGTGTTCCTTTTCGGAGGCTGCGGCAATTTTTCAGGAGGTTAACGAATTTGACCAAATTATATTCCTTTTCTTTTTTTCCCGTAGTGCATTATGAGATAAAGACCGAAACATTTCCTATGAAAATACATGTATTATTCAAAGAATCTCTTAACACCAGCCTTCCTAGATCCAAATCCACTAGGTTTATGGCAGATTTTGCAAAAATCAAAATGGCAACTCCTGAACACTATCACAACGTAAGGAGGGCTGATGCCTTTTAGAAATTGAAGAAGAAAGAATGAGATATTGGATTACTGCAAAGTGTAGGATTATAGAAGATTCAGGAAGGTTTGCAATGAAAATTCCACGGTACATGTACTTAATCTGATCACAGTTTACTTGAAATGAACAACTTTAAAACAGCTACAGCAGATGACAATTTACTGCCTCTTGTACAATATAACTGGCTGCTGGGGGGGAAACAGGGTCGATCCCCAAGGTATTCACCTGGACCTGTCGCACACCGCCGTCCACTCTCAAAGGAGAAGAGTTTCTTGTCGAAGCCATAACGTCGCAGGCTTCTCAGGGGCCACTTGATGGGCTCCTTGCCTCGCTGATGGAGGATGATGTCCGTCTTGGTAACCTCTATCACAGCCCGCTGGATTTCGGACCCCATGTCGTCAACGTTCCGCACCTGGGAGGGGATGGGTGAAGGAAAAAAATGAAGGGAGGCAAAGGTTGTGAGAGCATCCATGTCAGATAGGAGCAAGCTGCAGGAAGGTTACGGTGGACAATCAAAAGCACAGAACACTGAAAATATAGGGCACAGCATGGGACAAGTTTTTCTCAATGTGTATATGGGTAATTCCAGATATTAGGGATCCATTTTTTGTGTGTGTCCCTGTCACATCTGACGTATAATTTTGTCAGATCAGAACACATTTTCTGATTTCCAAGAGTGACGAATTAATGCAAATTACCTGCCAAACAAATAGTAATAGTTTGAAATCAATTCTGGTGATATTTCCATGTCAAATGATAAAGGATAGATGTAACAGGAAAC